GTTGTCAATAAAATGTTTTGTATTGTTATCTACACTATAATAATCTAGCAATGCGCCCCGGTTTTGCACGCGTAATTCTTATTTATACGCGTAAAAATGCAGCCTATATTACTCAGGGATAATATACTTAGCATTCTAATGGTGAAAGAATTTTTGACATTTGTCTAGTAGTTTTTGAGTTCATTCATTACAGAAATACAATATTTTCCATTCACAAATTAGTATAGATTGGTTACATAATTATAAAAAATAGTTATTTTACTTTATTAAATATTTTTATTAAGTTTTCTTTTTTATTTAGATTATAAAAGCATTGGTAGATTTCATAATTATAATGTGCCTACGTAGATGTGTTAGTAATTCTAGTTTTATTATGAGTTACATCATACTCATTATCGTATTTTTCATTTATAAACAATTAATGTTTAATTACTAATGTAGGTATTATTAAGTGATATTTATGTCAATAAATTACTATGTAAATATAATTATGGTCTCAGCGTCGTCTCCCTTACTAACTTGTATAGATAATTGAGTTACGGTCGCTGTGAAAGTTATGTGGAATATATTATAATCTGATTTTGCATTTCCGGGTTAAAATAGGCACTCCATTCTTTGTCGATTTCTGTGTAAATTCAAATCAAAGAGAATGTTATTCCACGTTTTTTCGATGATTATACAACTTTGCATGACGGAAGCAAATTAATAGAATTTACTAGAGCTTTTATACAGTAAATCTACATAACGTAGCATTTCTATCGGTAAATTAAAATTACATTTTGTAAATAGTTTTTACATTTCGCGGGTTCAACTCCCGGCAAATATTTTTTTGAATTCTTAGAATGGTAAGTTAGTATTGTTTTTAAAATAAAAATGAAGCCTTGTTTCAGCAAAACTTTCTAGTCGTATCTACACTATTCGGTTCTTTCTCTCCATATGGCAGTTTTAGGACATTCTGTATATTAAGTGGATAGGTACGCGCCTCCCATCAGATGGACTGACGATCTGGTGCCAGCTGCATGTAGATGGATTGGGGGAGGCCATCGCTCATTTCCTAATGTATAACCACATCGCCCTGAAAATTTTACTCACCGCCAGTTACAAAATACAACTACAAGATAGAGTTGTTTCACCTCCTTCAGCTGTTATTGAAACAATTTTCAAAACGAAGAGAAGAATTTTAATTCTTCTTTTTAAACTGGTTTCGAAAAAGGAGAAATATTTCAGCTTTCGAAACTGGTTGTAAATAAGTGTTTCTCTGTTCGAAACCGGTATCAAAAATAACTTTGTATTTTAAATGGAAATTCTGACTCTAAAGGCGTAACGTTTCATGGGCATCTTAATAATTGAACATTATATGGGAACGAACCATTACTGCGTATCCCTATTTTTATATTTTTTCGAGACTATTTTCGAAAGCAGAAATATTTTTCTTTTTGCGAAACCAGTATTGAAAGAAGAATTAAAATCTAAAGAAAATATAACTAGAAAAAGATCCATGCGGAGCAGGCAGCAGACGGGACTCGAACCCGCACCCTTCGCAATCCGGACGAATGCATTGTGGGTTACCTATAATGCGAAGATATAAATGGCGCTGCCTTGCAGCTTTAGAATGGCTAGAAGAATTTCGACGACGACGTGAGGGCCGCGGTAGCATATTTGGTCAGTGCATTCGCCCGGATTGCGAAGGGTGCGGGTTCAAGTCCCGTCTGCCGCCTGGTCCGTGTGGAATTTTTTCTAGTTATATTTTCTTTAGATTTAAACATCAAGCAGTTACATGCTTTAAAAAAATAAAAATTATAAGAATTAAAATTCTTTTTCGAAACTGGTTTCGAAAACGGCCGAAGGAGTATCACCATGGTCTTTGTGCCTTTTGCCACTTCCCCAGACAGACGCTCCTATTCGAGCAGGAAATCCTTTATTATGCCTTACCCCGCTTAGAATCATGACCACTGAGTGTGGTGGTGGTGGTGTAGTAGTTTCTTACATCTATACCTATGTTATTGTAACTGCAGGTTGAAGAAATAAAGCTTAAATTATAACTCTAAACAGGGCCGAATTCAGTGGGCCCTGGAACAACTGCAAGGGTAGAGGTGCTTAAGAATCTGGCACGCCGTTTTGCAAACCCCCGCCACAATGCGAAAAAGTTTAGAAACAGGCAGTAACATTTGGTTATTTTTTATCTCTGTTGTGGGGACACCCTCTTGAGGAGGCCCCTGGGCCCTGCCTTAAATCCGTAACTGTAGAACTGTAGTTTAATAAAGTCTGTAAGTATCAATTATGATGTGTTTTTATATTAACCTTATTTTACGACTTACAATCAAGTTTGTATCGGCACAGCAGCATAAAATTCTTCATTGCGTTCCTGGGTGTTTTTATAGCTCCACCAAATGTCGTTCGGGCAATGAAATTTTTCATAGGTGTATCAGCGCTGTACAACAAAATGAAAAAGATATACAATCCAAGATCGCCCTTGCTTGCAACAGGATAGTTCTATACTGTGCGTTATGTCATAAAATGATTTGATAAATCGAATTTCACGAAAAGCCTTGGGATTTTGGGAAATCGCGGATAATTAGACAATGGCGATGACATTCGTCAAATAGGCTTCTATTTGTGGGCCACGCAAACAAACGCCACTATTGTGGGTAAATAGAATACACACAAAAAATACCTAGAGAATAGGCTAAATCTGGCATTGTGTTGCTCTATAAGAAAGGAGACCCTGCCGCTATAGGTAATTACCGTCCGATCAGCCTGCAATCAAATCTGTACAAATTGTTTGCTTCGTGCCTGGAAGAAAGATTAGCTACATACGCAGAAAAATTCCAACCTCATAACAAGCGGGATTTTCGATCGTGAAAATGTTTTCATCGGTAAAGAGGAAATTTCCGTGCTTTTCACCTGCATGTCCTGTATATAGACGATAAGCACCGAGCTTCAGGTCTTGTTATAATACGCGAGAGAGTCCTAGCGGGAACCTTCATTTCTCGCGATATTTCCTTCCTAATGGGGTTTCGACGAATTCTGGCTTCAACAGCACTGCCCCAGCTGCCCCGATATTTTCTAGTCTTCGACAGACGAAGTGTTATTGTATCTGTTGATGGTACGATATACGAATGAACGGCTGATACCAAGCTTTTAAAGTGTTTGGAATATGACCGTCCGCTCCATACCCACTTTGTGCAAGGCGATCACTGCAATCCTATTTGGCTTTAACACCCCATTATTTGATAATGAACATGACGAAATATGTGAAATGGCGCAAAATCAATACGTATACGCGTGCCACAATCAAAATAATTAAAAAGTTGAAAAAAAATCATATTGTGCTGTGATATACCTGTGTGTGTATGCCGAAACAGCCCCCCCCCCCCCCCCCCCCCTAAGACCAGTCCCCACCACAGTGGTAGTCTGCATCTTTATGAACCTGAGCAAGATGCAATGACATAAATGTTCGTTGTTACGGTGGGTGGGCCAGATGTACTAAATGCTTCGCGGCTTATAATTCTATGATGAAATTGGTAGAATAATAATAGAAGACATTTATCATAATAATAATAATAAGCCGCGAAGCAATTAATAGATCCGGCCCACCCACCATAACAACGAACATTTATGTAAATACTAGCTGACTCGGCGAAATTCGTACTGCCCAAAAATAATAATTTGCAATAGTAGTGCGACTATAAATTGAGATATAAGCTACCCTATCTCTCAAGTTTGATCAAACTACACACGGTGTGCAAATTTGATTAAAATCGGTTATGTAGTTTAGGAGTCCATCCCGGACAAACAACATGACGCGTAATTTATATATGTTAAGATATTTCAATATAATTAAATTTGGCCACTCTCCATAAGAAATCTGACATAAGGGTAGCAGATGCTTCTTCTGAAATAACGCCCATATTGTTAGACAAAAATGTAGATAGATAGATTAAAGTGTTTCGGGGCTACAATGATTTAATGTCTAAAGATATCCGCCAAACAGTGACAGTTATTCCAAGATCAATGAGATAAGGGCTTGCCTCTATTAATCAATTTAGCGCCATGTAAAGAATTTTCAGCTGGCAGTTAATATAAGAGTTACATTGCTGAATGATCAATCTACAGCTGCCCCAGCAGTGGGGAAATTACGAGGCTGATGAACCCGAATGAGAGCCTGTGAACATTGTATACCCCGTATATTATTATATCGCTGTTATCGGTTATCACCGGTAATACGCTTACCGGAATTCAGGCTGGTAAGGTAAATAAAGGCTTATGGCTGGTGCGGCACATAGGTATCATTGGTGATTCTACCTTAAATCTGTGCCTCTCTCTATCTCAAGTTAGAGTATCGACTTGGAATACGTATACTATAATGAACCAGTACTGTACCCTTAGCACGAACCAATATCGAATGCAAATACTTAAATTCGATCTCGATACGCGTCAAATGTCAAGGAGCTTTGTATGGAAGATTTTTAATTCTCGTTATGTCCGTTATGACGCCCAAATTTCCTTAAAAAACTTCTTGACATTGCCGCATACTTCGAGATGGAATTCAACTATTCGAATTCGTTATTGGTTCGAGCTAGGGGTACTGATCACCAACCTTTTTGATTTAATCTAATTTTATCCAACTCTTACTTAATAACATTGGTAGTTTTCAATGCAGAAGAGGAGGATACGATACGACTAAATCCATGATATATGGATTTTTGACTGAAGGTTAGGGCAGCCATCTACGGTCATTCTATTAAAAAAAATGGCCAAGTGTGTCTCAGGCTTACACTGGAACCATAACGGAAATTGTACAATTAACTATTTGATACAGACAATAAAACAACATCAAATATAAGTAGTGCAGCTAGTATGGAAAAAAGGACAAAAACCAATTTCCCCAAAAAAATAATTTAATTTGTCCCGCAAAAATTAAAATGTACCGAAACCGTAGAACGTCCAACCGTTACGAAATTTAAATGTACTTTCTACTACTTACTATTTTTTTTCAGGTCACCTCCGCGCTGTACCTAGGCTTGGGTCAGAGTTATTGGCAGAAGCTGGCAACACTGGCGAACTTGTCAGACATGTTGATGCTACTCAACTATGTCCTGAACCCCATTCTGTACGTGCTCATGAGGCAAAGACGGACCATCTACCACACGATAGCGCATTGCTTCAAAGGGGTAAGTTGGAACTTGAAAACAGAACCGTTTGGTAGTTTTAAATCTACTATTCCCAGTTGATATATACACACATCAAAAAAGTTTAAGCAGCATGATGCATTTACACAAACTGCAAGTTTAATCAGTTAATATTTTAAATTATCGTTATGAAATGTATAATTTAGGGTTGATTTCTCGAACACCGGATAAAATTTATCGGCCTGATATCGTAATATACGGATAAAATAAAGACTTCATTGGTGTAATGCGACGGATGACATATCTCTCTATTTGATTACGTATTAATTAAATGAACAGTTAAGTTTTATCCGAGTTTTGAAAAACCGACCCTTATTCAAACGTTTTCTTCTTTAGGAACTAATAAATCAAAATGGTTATTATTGATAAAAGAATGTAAGTGTTTAAAATCAGTCTAAAGTTCAAAAAAGTTTATGTTGCTTAAAAATCTTTTGATGAGTACATTTTGCAGTAGTCATTTTATTGCCCGCTAATACATTTAGTAAGCACAGTCAATAGTAGAATAGAATTTGTTATCATCGTTGACCAATTGGCTGACTCACAGAAGTAAATCAAGATTTATTTCTAGCTGACTTGTTTAACCAAATGGCTGCGAGACCTACCATAAATTGCAAATCTTTTGTAGTGAGAACTTAGACTTTCTTACTGAGAATATCGAATTCTAATACTTATAATAAAGCAATTCTTTCCAGTTTTGGGACCATGTTACAGTGCAGGTAGTTTAACCTGTTTAAAAAATTCCAAAACATATTATTTTATAATTTTAACGTTTGTCTGCGAAATTATGGAAAAGTTTACGGTGTAGTATAAGGCTTATCTAACTAGAAAGTTTAATTAATACAAATGTTTGGTTGGTGTTAATATTTTTTTATGTTAATTACATTTAAGTTTACTGTTAAAAAAGCTTTTTAACAGGCTTGCTAGTAATTTAAGTTAATTGTAGAGATATTCGTATATAGCGCGCTTGAGTGTTGTATATATTTATTTATTTAATTATATAGATAAGATAAAAGGTTACAATAGTGTTTGCATTGGTTATATAATAAACTATTTTGTATACTCGTTTGTTTTGTCATTAACCCAAACTGAAATATATTAATATTAGATTGGAATGTATTTATCTTGTTTAATACTTGTAAAAGTATTCATTTGACATTGTGTGTTTCCCATAATGTGAAGAGATGGCGCTGCCTTGCAGCTTAAGAATGGCTAGAAGAATTTCGACGCGGCCATCAGGGCCGTGGTAGCATAATTGGTCAGTGTATTCGCCCGGATTGCGAAGGGTGCGGGTATGGAGTCCCGTCTGCTGCCTGGTCCGCGTGGATTTTTTTCTAGTTATATTTTCTTGAGATTTGTTTAAATCTGTTTAATATAATTATAATTGATGTTTATCAAGCATTTACATGCTTAAAAATATGAATTATAACTATGTATTTATCTATTATTCTTACTGAACAAGGCTAAATAATGGAAGGTAAGGCTGGGGGCAAAGATACGGTTTCCTGATTCGGTTTCCTGATCAGGAATTCCGATACGGAGACCTGAATGCACGTCCTTACAAACAAAATGTTCAACGAGGCGCACACTATTCTTATTTTTTCATAATGGAAAAAACCTAACATTCGTTTCGGAAACTCCTTAATAAAAATACCGGTATTATGCTCACGGAATTCTGAATCTGTCTTCCTGATCAGGAAACCGTACAGTATATTAGCGCTCAGCTTTAATACTAAAAATCAAAGCTTTTCTTTCCGTAAGGGCCTTGTACCCCCTTATGAATTTGGATTTTTTCAAATGACTACAATGACATATACTTACTTATAATTCGAAAAAATTTAAGATAAGATAATAACACATTATTGCATAACAGTAACATAATGAACACGAATAAAATACAAAACAAGGCAAAACAAGTACAGTTGCACAAAGGGCGGTCTTACGCTAATCAGCGATTTCTTCCAGACAACCCAATGAGCTGGAAAAAAAATTATATACAAAGCACGATAACTATAGTGAGGGAGGTTGTGCGGAATACAAGACAAAAGTAGTGTAAATAGTAAGTTGGAAATAAATTAAAATAAATGCAAACTAAACATAAAGGCATACACAAACATTCAAACATTTCACAATATAAGGCAACAGCAGCCAGTACTACTAACGTAGCAATATTTTTAAAGACGCTCATCTGACAAGAAGTGCTCCTTAACTAGGGCTTTACTTACTTATAATTCGAATAACAGAGGCAACAGGCGACATACTGAGTAACTGGACCCAGTTTGTACTGCTTTTCATGTTAAAGATCAAAGTCTGATTTCATGTAGAATATTGTGTAGAGACTTAACGCATAGCAGATTTTCCTCTAAAATTGGAATAGGTTATACTTTTTTATTTTTTTACAGTCTAAAGAAAATATTACTAGAAAAAAATCCACGCAGACCAGGCAGCAGACGGGACTCGAACCCACACCCTTCGCAGGAATAGGTTTCCAACTGTGGAGTAACCCATACCTTACAGAAAGATAGACAATTTTTTAAATATATTTTTCAAAACTAGCAGAGCTTATACAAAGAAACAAAAACAACGTATACAATATCTATTTACGAATATACTTATAAACAAGCACTAACATGGGTTTTTATATTTCACGAGATACCCAGTGTATTAAACGATTTGATATTGCGGTTTGAAGTTCAGACGAAACATAGCGTGTTGATTTTTTAATTTAAAACCGACTCAATCTTTCGGTGTTCTTCTAAAACATTCTCCTACTTTTAAATGCTATTACGCAATTAGGTTAAGAATATTATAATTGATAATTGACGCCTCAAAAACAAGGCAATCAGATAACGTACATACCTTAAAAGTATTTACAATTAGCCGTAATCTTAATATTAAGGAAACCACGCTACTTTGTGATAAAGGTAAAAGGGGCGAGCTTTATCGATAAGTTTCTGCAAGCGATTTGTGTTAATGATGCTTTATCTAATCATTGCAGTACTATTAACTTTCCTTCGCCTCTCACGGAAATGCCAAGGATTCGTTTCTGCTAAAGTTTTACCTCTGATCTAGGGACAATTAGGGATGACGACTATTTTTTCTTCTTCTTCAATCAGATTATTGGACACATATTTTTTCTTTAATCACACAATCATAACATTACAGAGATATATTTGTTTCTTAGGTTTTCACGCACATCACTCATTAAATAAAACAGTTTTAACGGGTTATATGCACTGAATTTATTTATTTATTGACGTTTCGCATCCTTTTCAGGTCTTTCGAAGTTAGCTCAACAAAGTAAATAAAAAATCATTATTCTAACGACGCATTCCTGAAAAGAATTAAACTTCAAAAAATAAATAAATTCAGTGCATATAACCCGTTAAAACTGTTTTATTTATTACAGATATCATCACCAGCCTATTAATGTCCCCAATGCTGCTGTCTTCCCTGTGGAATATTGCGATATATTGATTTGAAATGTCGCAGGACGTGATGCCTTGGTACAATGTTTACTTAGCAGTGACGTCACGAGACCCCGCTCTGAAACTTTGACGACCTTTATCTCTGTATTTTTTTGATTGATTGACAAATTAATAAATAAGTAAGTACCTGGGTCGAATATGGCCACCTTAAGGTTTGGTGTTCTTTTTTAATAATAATAAAGCTAAAACAAGAAGGTTTTAGCACTCATATATAAAGAGTGGTTATTTATCTTTACAAAAAAGGCAAAAAAATGTAAAGACGTCTAATGATAAAAAAGTATTTTCAACATTTTTAAAAATATAGAAATTGGCCATATTTCCGACGGGGGAGTTAAATATGCCCATACATGTGGCCATATTTACTGTATGAGTTAGGTAGTTTAAAAATCTTCTAAATATAAGAAATAAAAATAGTTATCATATTTTAATAGAAAATTTATTTAAAAGATATTCTTTGGGCGATATTCAGTACAAATAAAGAACCATGTTTACAAGAAATATAATGAAAGATAAAATCAACAATGAGATTCAACAAGATATTCTAAACTTTAAACTTTAAATCCTTAAAAAACTATACTTCAAATCAATAAAATTATCAAAAATAAAACGTAAACTTCGAGATCCTTGATAGATAAATCACAATGATACCTATGTTAAACTAGAAAAAAGTAGGCGAATCTAATAAAATAAATATTTTAATTAGTCCTGACTGCATCGAGTGCAAACTAATATATTCATTCATTGATGCTTCTGACCAATTACCTCTAATCCCTTTAGATTTATAGCGTGCCATGATCTAAAACAAAAAAAAGTGTTACTACTTACTTAGTACCGGAAATATGCGGTGGCCATATTTGCAGTCATGCATTTTTTACGTTTGCATATTCACGAATGAAAAACTCACTATTACTTTGGTAATTAAACAAAGAAATATCAAATTACAATCGTCACACAAATCATATTGTGATTTACAACGATTTTTAAATCAAAACTAATGAAATACAGGACAATACTTACTTGATGTTTTTATAACCTCACAACACGTTTCCATTTAATCACAGATCACTATATATGTAGCAAGCTACAGATGCGACAGTCAATTTTGCTTGCTTCCGCAAAGAACAGTTGTGGCGCTGCGGTCGTTTCTGTCCACAGATTATTAATATGTCAATCAGGACTAGTGCTTCCAATTTATGATATGCTATCGATATCGATATGCTTAGTGTTGTTTCTCTATCGACAATTATGGGAATAGGGTAGGACTAGGATTGCTATTTAATTTATTACTATTTGTATATTAAAACACTTGAAGTAATCATAATTATTATTTATTAAGTTTAAGTTTTCTTAGTCTATATGTCTTGTATTTATTAAATGCTAAAATTTGCATATTCTCCATCTTGTTTACATATTTTTCATCCAATTTGCCTTCTAAAATTTTATTTATAATATTACACCAATTATGACATTGGAGACGTATAACGAGTGTTGTAAAAT